TTTCTTTCATTAATCCTTCAAACTACAACGCTAAGATTCTAGGTTCGTTTCCTGGCGGCGGACAGAGCGCAGATAGCCCTGTGTATAGCTTTGCGTTAACAAACAAACCTTCGAACCATATTTCTTTCAAAATACTTAAAAACCAAAGCTTAACAAACCATTTTTTAATGAAACATTTATATAAAAAACAGTTTTAATATTTACAAAGATTTGAAACATATTTTGAAATTCGGTTATTTTTCAAACGCAATATAGGAGTAACAGAAAACATACCGGTTAAATTACTTTTCTTCCCCTTTAGACACTAATCCCAAAACACCTAAAAAAGTTATAATTTATATTGAAATACTAATGCTCATCTACTTTAGTAGTGATAAACGTAACTCCGACAGTTTGGGTTTTGTTTTTTTATGCTTTTTTTTGTTTGATAAAGTAAGCCCATTACCCTCCATCCTCTTTTCATCCCCAACCCCTTGTATCTATCACAATGCCCAATCGGGAACCTAAGGTAGATACACTACTAGGTTAACGCTCCTTTAAGTCCCTCAAGGCAGTAATGGCAGGGCAAGCGACTGAAGTATAAAACCATTAGCAGTAATGGTTCGTACGTTCTGAGGCTATAACATAGTCTCTGTCAACTTGCAAACAGAGTACTCTTGATAACCAATCTTTATGATACATACCTGGATCTTTGTGCAACATTTAAAAATATATATATATACACACACACACTCATAAATAGACCAACAAGTAGGCAGGCATGATGACACAGATAAACACATAAATAGATAGATAGATAAATAGATAGATCAAACTGAAAATGACCATGTAAAGCTAAGTGTGAGATAAAGAGAAGCTTGAGTGACGTCATGTAGACTATGATGTAAATTCGGAAGTGCTTTGACTAACTTTCAATGTATTGTCATAAGTTGAAAGCTTGTTTGTTATCAATTTCGCGCAAAGTTACACGAGGACTATCTGTGCTAGCCGTCCCTAATTTAGCAGTGAAATACCAGAGGGGAAGCAGCTCGTCATCACCACCCACCGCTAACTCTTGGGCTACTCTTTTACCAACGAATAGTGGGAAATGACCGTCACATTATAACGCCCCTACGGCTGAGAGGGCGAGCATGTCTGGTGGAACGGGGATTCGAAACCGCGACCCGCAGATTGCGAGTCGAGCACCCTAACCACCTGGCCATACCAGGCCCCCAGGCTACCACAGACCCTTAATTAAAGATAAAATTAAGTGGTATAATGAAATCTATAGCTTACTAGAATAGCGGTATAGAAGCTCGAGGACTATGAAACTACTGTTTTTCCCGATTTTAAGTCTCTGAGTCTTCGATCACTATCGGAAGGGATCGGAAACTAAAAGATGATGAATTCATTCCAACTTATTTTGAATGATTATTATAAACACCTAAAATACACTATCACTGATATGATGTATTTAGATCCTTTCTTCCATTGCTCCATCGATACAACATTGACTTGATGTATTTAAATCCTTTCTTCCATTGCTCCATCGATACAACATTGACTTGATGTATTTAAATCCTTTCTTCCATTGCTCCATCGATACAACATTGACTTGATGTATTTAAATCCTTACTTCCATTGATCCATCGATACAACATTGCCGTATCTGGTCTTCACACTTTAATTCGGACACCGACATTTACAAAGTTAACACCGAAAAGATCCGTAGAGTTCACAAACTGTTTTATGATATTAACGCTTAAAACACGATTTTTTAAAATACTGAATCTATTATAATGCACTGCGTTATAACTTACGCTTAATATAGGTAGGTTTAATCGGGTGTTGTGCTACTTGGTAAATATTCAGTTGGCATTATATATATATATTGTACTGAGCGTTCTATTGCGTGATGTATATTGTACACTTTTAAGCCACGCCCTCTACTGGCTATAGAAAATTAGTAGCAGTTGACGTTCAGAACAAGAAAATAAAATACATTTGCTTAACTCATTTCCTTATCTTATATTTAGTTGAACTAGCTATATTTGCGCTTTGCGAAGTAGTTTTAAATCCTTAAAAAGTCCTAGGATTTCCTATGCTTCAGTAAACAATAATAGCGTGTTTCCCCAACCATATTATCACAGATTTAAGGCGGTGTGTACTTAAACACACCTTTCAGCTAAAAAAAGAAAAAGAGATATATGATGTTCGGTCCACTTGGGGTATGACTACATAATACAAGGTGTGTGTGTGAATTATTTTGTCAAAGTTATTTAACTTTGTCGATAACTTTGTTAACGCTATCCTTTGTTTTTTAAATTTTATTTTATGATGTTGAAAATGATAAAAAGCCAAAGACACTACACTATAAAGTAGACTTTAAGAAAATTAACTTGACATGAGTTACAATAGGAAAGCATGAAATTAACGTACAACTAATGCATGGCAAAATATATCCATTTGAAAATGAATAATGAACTGAAGCATAATAGGCTATAAATAATTAGACAAGAACGTTATAGGTCAATGTTTTTAAACAAGTACATAATTATTTCACATCGAAAGACCAAAATTTGAAATTTTGCTCTACACGCTACCCAAAGCCCCTCAGTGGCTCAGCGATAAGTCTGAGGGTTTATAACGCTAAAAATAGAGATTCGATACCTGCGGTGGACTGAGCATAGGTAGCCCATTGTGTAACTATGCACTTAACAACAAACAAACGCCGAAAATTAGTTTCAGTCTTTTCTATTCCATTTCATTAACACTTTCGAAGTGAATTACTTTCAACTATGTTCAGTTTCACTGCACAGCTTTGTATCCTGGTTGGTTGCCATTCAAAACATTCAGACTTTCTGTGTAGTGTATTATTCACGTAAATAAAACGGTATAAACAGCGAAAAGGAAAAACAAGACGTTTCCAAGATATACTCACATGACAAACAATGTAACTAAGTAGAACACAATGTAGGGCTTTGACCTGAGCTTTTATCGCTTGTAATGCAGGATTGGTTAGTTTTGCAGTTGACATCAGTACCTAATGGTTTCTACAGTTGTCTAACTACTTCAAGCTTTACCCAAGTTTGTACATGCAGCGAAAGGCAGCGTACCTAAGTGAAATCTTATATTGGTTATATAAACTGCGGCTGAAAAATTACTTTCTAACAGGGTATTGACCATTCAAAAATCAGATGGCTTTGTAATCAATGGGGGAGGGGAGAGATGACGGCTTTGTGGCTTTTATCAGCACTGAACTCTCATGTGACTTTCATTTCTGTTTTATTGAACAATCGTTATTTTCCACTAAACGTCTTTTTGACAATTTACGTATGTATATGACCCACGATCAAAACTAGACGTGTACAAGACCAGTAACACTGGACTGCATACAAAGTGGAGTTAATGATACAAGCGATTAGAGTTTTTGACCTCTGTCAACGAACTTTAAAGTATAAGCTTATGATAATATGGCGTTTATTCTATACAACAATGCATTCATATATGAACTGGTGTGTCCAATAAAACGAAAGACAAACTTGTTGTATGAATTGAAAATAGTTGATAAACTGAAACACAAGTCAAGATCATATACGCTTAAAGAATAAAATTGCTAAGATCTCAAGGTCTGAGAGCTCTTTTCCAAATCATCACTGCTGATAAACCCTCTTTCTAAGATCATCAGTACCACGGTAACTCCTTTTCAAGAGTAGCACTATTGTTAAAACCTCTGTCCAAGATAATCACTCCCTTTCAAATGGCGCAACTACTGTGAAACACTCTTTCTAAGATCATCAATACCACGGTAACTCCTTTTCAAGAGTAGAACTATTGCTGAAAGCCTCTTTTCCAATATCATCACTGTGATAGAAACTCATTTTCAAGTGCATCATTATTATGAAAACTCGGTCTTTCAGAGCGTCATTACCTTCAAAACATCTTATTATGAGCCGAAAACAGTAAAAAGTAAACTGCCTACATGTAATTCTTTTGCAAAATAAAAATCTAACAGGTAGACTTATTACTTCCAACGTGTCGATTCAGAGATCATAATGCAGACATCCTTTCAAACAATTACTGCCAGTATTATTTCGATACGTGTTTGTCTTTATGCTGAAATAATGCCATTCCACGTCTAGTAAAAACAAAACAAAACATGAATACAGACTATAAACAAAAGGTAAGGACTGGATTCATGCATAGAAGCAGGTTTAATTGAAGTCAATTCACATTTATAATTCTCACTCTATTGGGAAGATCTAATAACATACATAATGACAACCAAATTAGTCTAGTATCTCGCAGCTTTAAGCAGTCTTTCAAAAATAAATATTCAAAGATAAAGGATATATCGGAGAAAAAAAATGTTAGATTTTGTTTTAAAATATTCAAAAATACGAGAAAATCACATTTTCTTTAAGTAATGAAAGAGATCAATCCAACATTTTGATGGTACTTTTCTACATGAAGATGGAATAACACCCCAAATGTTCTTGAAAAACAAACTACCACAAGAAAGGTTAAAAGTAAAAAAACGAAAGTTAAAGTAGACTAGAAAATCTGAAGGATCTTTAAGGAAAATAAGTAAAAAAACAAAGTTAAAGTAGACTAGAAAATCTGAAGGATCTTTAAGGAAAATAAGTAAAAAACAAAGTTAAAGTTGACTAGAAAATCTGAAGGAACTTTAAGGAAAATTAGAAAAAAACAAAGTTAAAGTAGACTAGAAAACCTGAAGGATCTTTTAGGAAAATAAGTAAAAAACAAAGTTAAAGTAGACTAGAAAATCTGAAGGATCTTTAAGGAAAATAAGTAAAAAACAAAGTTAAAGTAGACTAGAAAATCTGAAGGATCTTTAAGGAAAATAAGTAAAAAAACAAAGTTAAAGTAGACTAGAAAATCTGAAGGAACTTTAAGGAAAATTAGAAAAATAAATTAATTTATAGTCCTCCTTTTTTCGTGAGTGTACAATACTGTTTTTCGAAACTCATACGTATACAAATAAAGCTTATGGTACTTACGTTCACCAGAATCTGGAGGGATTCCACATAGGATTTCTCTGTATCATACAGCTCTCCTACCACGTGAGTGCGAGTATCCTGGAAACAGAGTAAAATGAAGCTTTTAACATACTAATCCTTAGCTAATGTTTCTCTCCTCAGATTTCTTCGTGCACATTTCATAACCACGTTAGAGCAGATCAATGTGCAGATAAAACTATACTAAGTTTTATTCCGAAATGGATATTTAGGCTGATGGGAAAGTTAATCTGTTAGAAAGATGGGCTATGTTCCCTTGGTTATTTTGGTAAAGTACTTATAAATTGAGTAGTGTAAAGAGTTAACTGCGACCAAAAAAACAAAACAACTACAATAAATTAAGAAGTGTGAATTCTTCATGAAAACAGCAAACTAATCTTATTTGGTTCTTTGTGTTAAACGCTCTCTCGTTTTGAAATGTTCAAAATCTAAACATATATTTCTCAGTTTAAGTGGATAAACACTCGCATCTGATTTGACCTATAAACGTCTTATATTTCAACAGTAGAAATATAAAATATTATTAATGTTTGCTATATTAGTTAGTCAGACAATTTACACTGGTATATCAAAGAATTTTTTCCTTTTTTTCATTAGAATTCTTTTCATTTATAATTTTATATAATTTATTGTTTATCACACTAGACACCATCGTTGATAAAATCTTACAGTGAAAGAAATACTTCATACACTGTAATAGATGCATAACCCTATACTGAGATCTATTGTGTACTCTTACAAACAACTGGCAAGGGCAGTATTTTGAAAGATGAGACTACTTGTTATCGATGACCAGGGCTGGCTTAGTGGTTAGGTGCCGAACTATGGATGAGAAGGTCTAAGGTTCGAGTCGCAATATACCCCGGATCACGCTCCGCTCTTTCAGCTAGTGGTGGGAGGACATTATACACACTTTATACATCCTGTTATTTAGTTATTAGTAGTCGTGTAGACGGCATGTGTTGTTGGGTTATTTATCAATAGTTCTAACTTTGGTGTCTCTTGACCTATCCGTTTAGCCCATGTGTCGCGTAAGATCTGGTTCAAATTTAGAGTAAAAAAACCCAAACCGACGTTTTTTGGCACAATGAAAGGTAAAATCTATATAATGACATTTTGGCCATTTCCATTTTGTAACTAAAACAGTGATGTTTCATATTTTAATTTAAAAAGCAAGTAGTTAAATAACAATAAACTGGAATATAGAAACTTGAGTCAACGTATTTCTTTGGGACATGAAACCTTTTTTGAACGTTTAACATTTTAACGATACTGAACAGCTTCAAATCTGTTATTACTTTCACTTATGTATTCTTTTTTTTACCCGACAGTTTTTTCACTATATCAAGTATGCAATGTTTCCGTTGTAGAATACGAAAGTGAAGTTAAAGCCGCCTATAGGACGAGTATCATTGCATGGGACGAACACCTTCATGTGCTACGGCTCAAAATAGTGAATGGGGATGGCCCATGCTCGTGTTAAACTCTACTGTGAACTCTTAACAATTCTAACAAAAGTGATTAAGGTCAGTTAGATAGAATGTGATAAAAAGTCTACAATCTAACAATATTTCCGCTTTTTTTTTTTTTTTTTGCTAAGCCTAAATAAGCTTGTTTGCTTTGC